TGAGCGGTGGGTGTTGCCTTCTGACACACTTCCAGTGATGTCAGGGGGAGTGGCACATGCAAATACGTTATGCTAATGAGTTATGCTAATGAGCTCCTGCACCTCTTTTTCTACAAAATGACCCCTGATCAGGCGCCTTTCCTTTCCTCTGAGACGTAGGAAGCAGAGTCGGGAGGGGGGAGCTAGAGAGCTCCTGTTTGGTGGCCCGGTTGGGTTGGGGGGAGGCTCCCCGCGCCGTCCTCAGTCATCCCTGCCTTTGCCGCCGCTTCACGAACCGGATTTGCGGGAGCCGCTTTTGCCGTGTCCCATTTTGAACCCTGCTTGTTTTGTTCTTGTCCTTTTCTTTCCTTCCTTTCCTTTCTCTCGTCTTTTCCCCGTCTTGTGTCTTTGTGTGTGTCTCTCTCTTTCGTCCTGGTGGCTTTTTCCTCTCTTCTTTTTTTTGGGAAGCCGTGAGTTTTACGGAAGGAGTGGCTTTGCTTCGTTCTTTAAGTCTGCGGCGGCCCCTGCCACTCCGACTGAGAAACAGCCTCTTCTTCCTGCCTCCAGGCGTCCCTCCCCGCCCGTGAGCATGCGGGACACCTACGGCACCTCCTCGCTCAGCAGCAGCAGCAACTCCGGCTCCTGCAAGGGCAGCGACAGCAGCCCCACCCCAAGGTAACCCCGGGCTCCTGGACAGGCACTGTGCCACCAGGGGGCACCCCTGAGCTCAGAAACCCGCCCGTCAGACTCCAGCTGGGGAGTCCTGTTCGTCTCTCTGCAGCAGCAGGAAAGAGCAAGAGTCCAGGAGCAACTTCGAGGCTAACAAACTTTGCGGCAGGGGAGGAGCGTTCAGGAGGCACTGGTCCCTTCTTCAGAGACCACTGGTCCCTTCTTCAGAGACCACTTTTTCAGATATTCATCTGTACCTGAAGACGTGAGCAGCGCCTCACGGAAGCTCACGCCCTGCCACGAATGTTGTTAGTCTAAAAATACGTCCGTATGCAATCACTGCCTATATTCAATGTGTTCGAATATCGATAGATTTCTAAGGCCCTCAAGCCAAGCATTTACTGGAGGTGGACTTTTATTTCTCCAGTGTTGTAATACGAGTGGTTTAGCCGCACTAAGGACACAGGGAGTCCATTTTTGTTGACTGCCGGTTAGCCCCCGAGAGGCAGGCAGAGCGTTTAAAAGCCCAGAAGCAGAGGTCATTTCGGGGAGATCGCGGGGGATCGCAGTTCCCCCGGGTGAGGTGCAGGGGGCGGGGCACATGACGAAGCCCCGCCCCCTGTTTCTGGCCGCCCCGCTTCCGGCCCTCATTCAGCCAGGAGGAGGCAGGAGAAGAGGGAGGGTAAGTTGCTTCCTCCCCTCCTCTCCCCACCCCTGCCTGCCTGGGGCCAGGGAGGGCCTTGGCGGGGCTTCCTCGCACTCCCGCTGGCCTTGCAGGTCCACCACCGGGCCCCTGATGTCAGGGGGTGTGGCATATGCTAATGAGTTATGCTAATGTGTTCCCCTAGCTCTTTTTCTACGAAATGACCCCTGCCCAGAAACATCCTCCATGGTCAGTGAACATTCTAATGCAAAGCCTGTTTAGGTGTCAGGCCAAAAGAAAGAGAGCCGATTCTTCCCCGCAGACTAGAATGGCCATATTTTATTTCCATATTATGTATTCTGATTATCATGGATTTCAGACAGCCTTTGTATTCCGTTTCAGGAACTGGTTACTAACGTTTTCCCCCCCTGTCGTTTTGGACAGACCCGTTTTAGTAACCGGCTGTTAATGGAATATATTTACCTGTTCATACAGTGCCGGTTGTCTCCCGTCTGGGAAGCGTGTCTGAGGCGCTCTTGATGAAAACTGCTTTCTTCAGGTCTTCAATCCGTTCTTCCGGATCTGAAGCGCTACAGTGGGCTGTGTAAAATGCCCCGTAGCGCTTCCTCCAGTGAGGGGTTTTTTGCGCCCTTCCCCCCCCCCGTGTGCAATCTCTCCTCTCTCTCTCTATTGGGAGCGCTATAACGCTATAATAGGATGTCAAATTAGCGTCATAGCGCTCCCAATAAAATGTGTTTGTTTTTTTTAAAACCGTCTCAGGGAGATTTTGCGCGTGGAGGAAAATGGCGGGAAAAGAAAGCGGCACTGTTGGAAATGTCATAGGAACATAAGAGACGCCAATGTTGGATCAGGCCAAAGGCCCATCCAGTCCAACACTCTGTATCACACAGTGGCCAGAAATACCAGGGGCCATCAGGAGGTCCACCAGTGGGGCCAGGACATTGGAAGCCCTCCCACTGTTGACCCCCCCCCAAGCACCAAGAAGACAGAGCATCACTTGCCCCAGAGTCCCTATCTATACCTTGTGGCTAATAGCCACTGATGGACCTCTGCTCCATATGCTTATCTAATTCCCTTTTGAAGCCGTCCATGCTTGTAGCTGCCACCACTTCCTGTGGCAGTAAATTCCATGTGTTAATCACTCTTCAGAGACCGCTTCCTACCAGAAGGGAAATGCTGTGTGAAACAGCGGTCCCTGTATCGGTTTCCTCCATGACGGGTCAATAACGAAAACCATGTGGTTTAAACAGGTAATGTGAAATCAACCTGTATGTTTGGGAACCTGCTTTATGCCTCTCTCCCTAAAGACAATGGTAGCCCTGGACACAAAACAGGGAGGGTTCTCTGGAGTCCAGAGTTTTGCCATTCACTGTGTGGCAAACCTAACACATTGTGCCCGGGTAAAGGTTTGTCCTTGTCTTCAGTGTTGATCTGGTTCCCTTCCCCTTGCCGCGCTTCTGTATTTCTTCACCCGTCGTCTCACGTGTCTCTTGCTTCACTGCGTTACCGCTTGAAAACCAAATTACTGGTCTCCTCAATCGTTGGTGGGTTTTAGAGTGGGGATCTTGATAAAGGTCACAGCAAATGTTAAGCCTGGAAGGATTGGCGCTCAGAGCGCATGGAATTAACCAGGCAAGGTGGTGCTCGACATTGTTTTTTTCTTGGAAGCCAAAAAGTCAGGTTCCCATCCCAAGAAGCTTGCAATCTGAATCTCAAGTCAGGAGAGAGAAGGGAGAGGCAGAGGCAACGAAAGTGTTGGAAGTTCCAGGCGCGATGACCCCTGTCTCAGACCTCCAGACTTCATGGCAAGAGAGGCTAGATGGCTAGATAGGAACACCGACCTTTCTTCCTGTCTCTTCTCTTCTGCCACTGGTCTCTTTGAAATGCAGATTGTGTTCTCAGGGGCCATTTCCCCCTCCTTCTTCTCTCTCACTCTGATGAAGACGAGCTTTCTCCCTGCACACTCCAAGAGAGAGACATCCGGTCGTCTCTTGGCACCATGAGGCAGATGGGCCTCTTGCCATCTACTTCCATCCTTTAGCTAGTAAGTTAGTACCCTGTCCTGTCTCTGCTCTTTCCTACCCAAAGTGTACTTCTCAAATAAACAGAGAAGTATTTCTCTTCTAAACTTGCAACGTGGCTCTGTGTAGCTTTGTAAGCTGAGTAACCCAGTAAAGTGACGCTGCTGCATTTGTAGCTTTATCCTAACCACGCCAGTTAACCTCAATAGGTTATGGGCCCAGCATGCTTCTGCAGTGTTTGTAGCTTTATTTAAGCACTCTGCTAACTAATGGTGACTGGACTAACCAAACCAGTGAACCTCAATAGGTTATGGACTCAGCACACTTCCGCTGCGTTTGTAGCTTTATTTAAGCACTCTGCTAACTAATGGTGACTGGAGTAACTATACCAGTGAACCTCAATAGGTTATGGGCCCAGCATGCTTCCACTGTGTTTGTAGCTTTATTTAAGTACTCTGCTAACTAATGGTGACTGGACTAACCTCACCAGTTAACCTCAATAGGTTATGGGCCCAGCATACTTCCGCTGTGTTTGAAGCTTTATTTAAGCACTCAGCTAACTAATGGTGACTGGACTAACCGCACCAGTTAATCTCAATAGGTTATGGGCCCAGCATGCTTCTACTGTGTTTGTAGCTTTATTTAAGCACTCTGCTAACTAACAGTGACTGGACTAATCACACTAGTTAACCTCAATAGGTTATGGGCCCAGCACACTTCTGCTGTGTTTGTAGCTTTATTTAAGCTCTCTAACTAATGGTGACTGGTCTAACCACACCAGTTAACTTCAGTAGAAAGAAGGGAAGAGATTTGAGGAGTGGGTGAAGTAAGGCTAACCAGGGACGGATGTCAGCAAACATGGTCACCTGTTGTTTCGCTTCTGCTGAACAGCTTCCAAGTTGTTTCTCCTTCCACCAGGGACAATTCCAAGGGTTACAAGAGCTGTCAGCTGATCAATGCCACTCTGTAACCCAAGAGTCCTCACCTTTATTAGCCTGTGGGCTTCGTTGGAATCCTGACACAAGGTGGTGGCTGCAGCCACAACCACAAAATGGCCACCATGAGAGGCGGAGCCACACACAATGGAAGCCCAAGAGCAGGGGGACAAGAAGAGTAATTTTTAAAAAATGCATTGGGAAAGACGAGAGAACAAAGCCAACACTGTGATGGCAGCTAGCACCAAAATGTTATTTTAATTAGCACAACCAATCAGATCTCCAGTGTCCAATCAGCAGCTCCACCTGGTCACATCTACTTTCTAAAACATTTGGTGGACACCAGGAAAGGTGTCAGCAGGTGCCCACAGGCACTATGTTGAGGATCTCTGCGCTAACATTTTACCAAACGAGCATTGGGAGTCTTCTTGTGACTGGTTGTATCAGTGACTTTTCATGATCTTTCCAGGCGCCCGGTTAAGTACTTGCTGTGCAGCGATAACCATGGCATCAAGCCCCCAACCCCGGAGCAGTACTTGACGCCCCTCCAGCAGAAGGAGGTCTGCATCCGACACCTGAGGGCCCGGCTGAAAGACACTCATGAGAGACTGCAAGACAGGTCGGTGCCTGATCCATTCAGGTTTTGGGGGTAGGGGTGTCCGAGGCCTTGCGTCTTGAATACGGAATGCCGGACAAGCAATAATGGGTTTAAATTAAGGGTGGGAAGGTTCTGGCTGGATCTTAGGGAAAACGTTTTGGCAGGTAGAGTTGTGCAACAGTGGGATCAACTGTCTGGGGAGGTGGTGAGCTCCCCCTCCCCGGCAGTCTTGAAGCAGCAGCTGGACAAACACTTGTCTGGGATGCTCTAGGCTGATCCTGCATTGAGAAAGGGGGTTGGACTAGATGGCCTCTGTGGCCCCTTTCAACTCTGTGCTTCTATGATTCCAGATATGGGGTGCTGGACAAGAGGAGTCCACCATCTTGGTGCTCTTTTTTTTTTTTAAAGAACTTAAACACTGGGCTGGTCATGGTGTTCAATAAGAAAAGCCCTGGAAGGGTGATAGAACCAAGTGTCAAGTCTCCATTTGAGTCCAGTAGCACCAAGATTTTTGGAGTCTGAGCTTTCGAGACCCAGAGCTCCCTCTGTCAGATAGGCATTGGAATGGAGGTCCATTCCAACGTGTTATCTGATGAAGGGAATTGTGACTCTCGAAAGATCATAACCTGAAAATCTTGTTGGTGCTACTGGACTCGAATTTAGCTGTTCTCCTGCAGACCAACACGGCCACCCTCTGAGAAGATCTCCACGTTGTACAAGTTTAGCCATGTTGGTTGGCAGTAGAACGGTTAGGTTCAAATCTAGTAGTACCTGAGAGGGCCCGTTGCTCTGTGGAAGAGCCTCTGCCTTGCATGTAGAATGTCCCAAATTCAACCTCCAGCATCTCCAGTTAGAAAGGACCAGGCAGTAGGCCTCTGCTTAAGACCCTGGAGCCAACTCATTTTCCCTAGCACCAAATTTTTGGATTTTTAATGGTGCCGACTGCACAGAAGCCTATGTACTAATAGCGCCATGTGGCCTCCGTCTGTGGATACCTAAATCTGCAGATCAAGGCCACGCCAGCGCTAAGCGGATTTTTCTTCAGACTTGAGAAGTCCCCAGGTTTTCAGAAAAATCTGAAATCAAAATTAAAGTCCCTCCCCAAATACATTTGTGTTGTCTGCACACGCACAGGCAGTGCTGCTATCAGATCACAATGGAGCGGCTCCTTCGTGACCTAGTAAGAGCATTGTCTGTGCGTGCGCAGACAACACAAATGTATTTGGGGAAGGATTTAAAGCCCCTTCTACATTTTAATTTTGATTTCAGATGCTGGCAGCTGCTCTTGGCCAAAGAACGGCAGTAGCCCCTTCAACCTTGCTGTAGAGTGCTGCATTGTATATTTATTTATTTGATTTATATACCACCCTCCCCACAAGCGGACTCAGGGTGGTTTACATCAGTATCGTCAAACAATCATTTAATCACAGATTAAAACAACAGAAAACCACAAATCATAAAATCATAAGATCATAAAACATCGTGACAAGTAAAGCTCAGGTGTCAATTGTATTAATTTGAATATAGCAGTGGTGCCCCGATATTAAACTAGAACCAGGCCGCTGGTGGGGGGTTGGCCAGAAAAAGGGAGGGACTTTTCCACTAGAAGCTCAGTGGAAGAGCTCCGTCTTGCAGGCCCCGCGGAAGTGGTAAATCCCACAGGGCCCTGATTTCATGTGGGAGCTCATTCCACTCTGGTCGAGGCTAGACGGACGTCCCTGGGGCTGGGGACTGCCAGAAGATGTTGATTTGTGGACCTCGCTGTCCTACAAGGCTCATATCGGGGGGAGGTCTGGAAATGGTGGAGGAAAGTGCCAGGCTTAATAGCAGGTGGTGGAGCCCGGAGCCATGCTAGGCTTGGTGCTGGGGAGGGAGGTTATGGTATTCTCCCTGCAAGTCTCCTCCCCACCCACTGAGACATAAGGAGGGAATCAAGTGTGGGAAATTGGCAGCAATCCGGGGAAGGATTCCCCAAAAGTATCTTTGACGTGTTGGGTTTGTGAGAACTGAGTAGGAGTCGTGACTGTCGGCTTTGTTACATGGTACAGAGACTCCGAGATCGATGATCTGAAGACGCAGCTCTCGAGGATGCAGGAGGACTGGATCGAGGAAGAGTGCCATCGTGTCGAGGCCCAGCTGGCCCTGAAGGAAGCCCGGAAGGAGATCAAGCAGCTGAAGCAGGTGATCGACACTGTCAAGAACAACCTCATCGAGAAGGACAAAGGGCTCCAGAAGTACTTCGTGGACATCAACATCCAGAACAAGAAGCTGGAGACGCTGCTGCACTGCATGGAAGTCGCGCAGAATGGGACAGTCAAAGAGGAAGGCGCCGCGGAGTCGGCCGGGGGCTCCCCGGCTCGTTCGCTCACCCGCAGCTCCACCTACACCAAGCTGAGCGACCAGGGGGCAGCCGACCGGAATGTGGGCGGTTCCCAGACCATCTCGGTGGACGAGATGGCGGACAGTGGCTTCGTGGCTGCCGATGACTCTCTGAGCCGGACGGACTTACTGGAGCAGAGTAGTCTGCTGTCCTCCGGGGTGGAATGCGGTGCGGACGAGACCTCCCTTCAAACCTCGTACACCCTGGGCTCCCGGATGCCGACCAGCTCCACGTACGAGAAGCTGATGGGGTCTCAGCACAGCGTGGAGGCTGCGGTTCAGGCCACCTGCATGCAGGAGCAAGCCATACAGACGGACTTTGTGCATTATCAGCCGGATCTCGACACTATCTTGGAGAAGGTCATGAAGTCCCAGGCGTGCAGTTCGGGCACCCCCACGGCGGTATGGGTGTCTGAAGCGGAGGAGGCCGCCGAACCGAATAACTCGGAGATTCGGATAGAGAATTCCCCCGATGAGGGCGTGGATTTGGCAGCTGCCGATCCCAACTGTGCCATGGTGGTCATGGCGGGAGACCACGCAGAGGACCCCGACGGGCCGTCAGGTTCCGCGAGGTTGGTTGACGACAACAATCCAGCCGTGCACCAGCCATCAAATGCAAGTCAGTCAGTCAGCATCGTGTGCACCGCAGACGAAGAGGCTGCCGACCAGAGCCAGGAAGGGGCGGCGGCCGCATCGTTGGAGCCCAAAACTTACTGGAGCCGCCACTTCATTGTGGATCTGTTGGCCGTGGTGGTGCCGGCGGTGCCGACGGTTGCCTGGCTGTGCCGCACTCAGAGGAGGCAAGGCCAGCCCATCTACAACATCAGCTCCCTCCTGCGGGGCTGCTGCACGGTCGCTTTGCACTCCATCCGCAAGATCAGCTGCCGGTCCATCAGCAGCCCCGGCGGCGCCTGCTCCCAGCCGTGACTCACTCCTCCCTCCTGCCCAGCCAACCGCATCACGCACACGCTTTCCTCGAGAGAACGGGAAATCGCCAGAGTTTCAGTTGACCACTGATTGTAAGTTCCACGAACAAGCACCGGGAACGTTTCCTTTTCTAAGGAATTACGTATGTATGTATTTATTTTGGAACACGCCTGAGCGACTAGGCCAGAGTTCTTGCTGCCTCTCGATTTATGCAAACGACTTCGAAACGACATCCTGGGAGGCTCGGCCGCCGCTGTTTCTGACGAAAGCCTTGGAAGAATGGCAGGCCGAAGCAACGATATTCCCGCCCTCCCCATGGAAGGATCCTGGTTACATAGGTGATGTCAATTGCGAACGGCGTCCTCTCATTTCACTTCAGGAGAATTGTGGTCCCCCCCCCCAAAAAAAAACAACCGTTTGCTCATCCCGACTCTCTCCTTCCATCTCATTGGACACTTTGAGGTTTGCCACTGCCTTGGCCTATCTCTTCTTCCTTTGCCAAGCCCCACGCGGCATGCCACCGAGCTTGAATGTACCTCACCGGCCACCACCGACACCCCTTCCACTCGTGTTCCGTTGCCTTGCAGGATCAGTCCCCCCCCCCCCCGCATATCCTTCCTGGCCATGTGTCTGGTTCTGGAGGGAAGCGGGGAGGGAGGAAACGCACGATGGTCGCTCAGCTGTGGTAGAATGTATTCTCACTAGCTCCGTGGGTGACTCGGCCTAAGAGGTAGATTTGGCAGATACTTGGGGGAGAGGGACAGGTATTTCTTCCGTCCCGCAGCCAGCAAAATGATTGGTTTTGTGGTGTTTATATGGTAGAGCACAGCTGTGTTCTTAGTCCCTCGACACCCAGGGCCTTCCCAGCATTTAAAAACACAGTTATTTCTTCGTGGTGCCCGTGCACCAGAGTGATGGGTTCTCCTCCTGCCAAGAGCTACAGTTCAGAAATGTCGAGAGCATGATTTTAGGTGCCAGCTTCTCCTCTCGCACAGGGCTTCAGCTCAGACTTGGCACGACCAGGGAGTGGGGGGGTGGGAGACCCAGTTTGGTGTAGTGCGCAGACTCTAATCTGGGAGAACCGGGCTTGATTCCCCACTCCTCCACTTGCAGCTGCTGGATGACCTTGGGCAAGCCATTGTTCTGCCAGAGCTGTCCTCTCAAGGGCAGTTCTGGAAAGAGCTCTCTCGGCCCCACCTGCTTGACAGGAATTTAAAAAAAAGGTTCTAAGTGTGGGGAGTCCTGCCTCAGGCTAAGCCTGTCTATGAGCATCTAAGGACCAAAATGATGCCCTGCCATCTT